AAAACATAAGATTTACGGGGTTTTCCTTTAATTAAACAAGTTTATGTCGATTTAAACTTGTATAATTTATAACTTATTTGGAAAATACTAGTACATTATGGGCCTTGACATTTAAGGCCACAATACTTTTTTTAAAAAGGGAAAATATTGGATTTTCTGGAACAAACATACTCTTACAAAGAAAGGATTTCAACATTTCATTCAAAAGCTTATGAAGTCACCAACTTAATTGTTGACACTTTTCAAAACTACTTGTATTCTCAGGGAATCAGTAAAACAGGTAACCAGCGGATTTTGAGGATGGAACGCTAAGGCGTCAAACATTTCATTTTTGTCAACATAATGTAATTGATTTAGAAACATGTAAAACTTATACTATGGTGTAACTTTTTCAATTATATTTATGTTGGTTGTTTGTACTTTGAGCACTATTATACTCGTTGTTATGATACTATACATGAAGTCCTCCACCGCCGGACGTTTCTGCCATCCTTGGTTTGGGGGTGTGACACACACAAACCTGATGGAGTGTTATTTTTTTGATCGTTATCACTCAGCTCTATTCATTAGGTAGCCACGCAGACCCACGATTCCTATATTTACCAGTTCTATTTTTTCTTCTATAACATGACATGTGATCAATTGCTATGTGATGCGATTTTTTTTTGTTGTTGTTGCTGTGAGCAGATACAAATGCATCAAGCTCAAAGGGAAAGAGTGTTGGTGGCTGAAAATCTCATCGAATATTCTCCATACCTATTTTTCTTCTATATACACTTCTTTTATGCCGGTTTAGATTCATGTGTTTGAACTTGTTTTTTTTAGAGTAAAAAAAATATAAGGTTGTTATTATCGAAATTGATAGCCTTGGTTGTGATGTTCTTGTTTCTAACTTGTAAGTGCTTGTTAATATTGACCACAAGTCAATTAACATTAACATATTGATTTCTGATATTGTTAAGGTTTATTTTTGACTTTTTGTCATGAAGGATGTGGAAGGAAATATGATTATTGGGTGAATCTAAGCCCGTGGTGCATCAGTGGTTAATGTTGCAGCTAGTGGTAGATACTACATGGCAATGGCAACACAAACTATAGTCTCAGAGAAACTTACTTTGATCGGTTCAGCTGGTCTTGTTTTTCAAGTATTCTACATGTACAAAGGGGAGTTAAAACATCTCGGTATAATCAGAATCTAAGAGGTTTTTATTTTTAAACATGTGGTTGTTTATCAGGTATTCCACACTTCTTTTTAAACGATTAAATTATATGAAAAATTTTAAATATAGAACTCCAGCCTTTGTTGTTTGTGTAAAAAATTGACAGGAATATACATTATAAATTTTCTGGTTGACATTAATATATGTATATGCAGGAAGAAGGGACAAAAACTATGCAACTTAAAGTAAACACTCTCTTTGAGCATGATAAAAATGTAATGTTTACATAACATATTTTTAATTTTAAACATTTTTTAATTGCTTAATAGTACATCGTCAAATAATAGTTTTTAAGTTATGATACAGGTTAAGTTGGAGAAGTTGTGGTTGGACTTGATCCATATTTAAACTATTACAAAATACAGTAAGATACCTCATTTATACATTGTATCAACATCTTATTTATGTAGTGTTTTGGAAATATATCTATTTATTGTAGTTCAATTCATAAAAAAGTTGTAAGTGGGAAGTATTCTGTTGTAAGTGATGAGTAATCTGCAGGTATAAGAACATTATATTTTGAAAATTTTACCAAATTATAGCCATTATACTTCTATATTTTTTCTTATAAGGACAATGCAATAATAGGAACAAATGAAAGTAAGATGCAATAAAAGAAATTAAAGATTACATTGGTCAACCCGACCAATGCACAATTATAACAACAATTAATTATTCATATTTGTCTTAATATTTGACACCTATAATTTTTTGTTGCTCCAGGTACCAAATCCACCATCTAATCAAAATTAAAACACTAAACTTCAAGTGTCTAAGAAGAAAAAAAACATATACACCGTTAGAGGGCATGAAATAGACAAGGAGCAGCAGCAATGTGAACAAAACAAAAATGCTAGAGACATAGTTCTTAGTTTATGTGTAAAGTCTTGTATACATATCTTTTGATTACAAGTTAATGTCTTAAGTATTTGAACTGAAAACTTATGTATTGATTTTTTATTATTAATATTAATATCATTTTCTTTTTAAGTTTATCATGTTTATTGCTGTTTTTATTTTATACAAAAATTGGAAATAAAATGGATAATATTTCCATTGATAACTATAGCTTTATATAAACATTAGTTCCACTATATTAAATAAAATTTATGTGGCTTTATATAATTATTAGTCACATCATAACTACAACATTTTATGTGGCTTTATATAAATGTTAGTCACACCGATGCATCTATAAATCATATTTGGTTATTTTTAATTGATTATGTATGTCGAAATGATATAAAATAGTCATAGTTACGACTTTTTATATGTCTCATTGGTAGTATCGGTTATGACAAGTAATATAAATATGGCTGTAAGCTAATATTAAATCCACAATTTTAATAAAATGTGTTTCTTTATAATACTATGATCATATTTCACTTAATTGCATGTGTCTATATGATAAGCAATAGTCACACTAAAAGAATGTTTTTGCAACTAATTATTAGCAAATCGTTATTTATCAAATTAATTACATGTGGTCATTTGGTGAACATGGTTATGTTCACCATAATTGTATGTCTGCAAAACATACCCAATAGTCTTAATAAACTTTGAATCGTGTGACAATTTACTAGCAAAACGCCACAATGAAACAACATATATGTCACCAATTGGTGACATACAGTCACTATAATTACTAAAAAATATGTCTACTGACGGTTTAACGCCATAATATTGGATAAAATGATTGATTATAGCAACAAAATTTTCTACCCAATTGTCACACTTTTATGATACAACCACATTTTTCATATCATACTGACACTACATTTTAAAGTGACCATAAGACCCATACGATGGCGGCACCTTCCGTCACACTTTCAGTAAAAAAGTAAAATGTCACTATAAGCATATGGTCACACTTTTATGGTGTGTTCGTAGGTCATTTTTGTACTAGTGGTTTTTGGTCTTAGACTTGGTTTTGGGGTTGGATCTTCTATTTTGGGCCATGTGTAGACTAATCTGATTGAATTTGCCAGTTTGGGCCTAAGGAGTTGGGATTGGTCCCAATTTAGAAAATTAAGCCATTGGTGGGCCATTAGTGGGCTTGGGAAGTCTACCTAGTACTGAGCCTTTCATATTATGGTTTTGGGCTTTATGCATGGACCAAATTAGATCAGGGCTAAAATGATCATTTTACCCTAAGAAGGTTTTTTTGGGTCTTGATTAAGTGTTATTTTGGTACTGATAGCTCGGGGAGTCGAAGGATCACCAGTTCGGGGATTTTCCAGTTAGCAGCCAGAGGATTATCCGGGGGACTTCAGCCGCGCGAGGTGAGTTTCCTCCTGTTTGAACGGGTCGAAGGCACCAATGTCGGCCCGTATATATATATATATATATATATATATATATATATATATAATATATATATATATATATATATATATATATATATATATATATATATGTTTTCCAGATTATGATCCGATGTCGGGCGGTGCCCGAGCAATATTTGTTATGCTTGAGGTCTTTGTGATTCTTGCATGTGTCGGTATTTGTATGTTTCCGGATTACGATCCGATGCGAGGCGGTGCTCGAGGAATGTTTATATGTATGCTTTCCGGACTAAGGTCCGATGCCGGGAGGTGCCCGAGGAATGTTTGTATGTATGTTTCCGGACTACGGTTCGATGTCGAGCGCTACCCTATGACTATGTGCATGTTAAATTATACTTGTTGTCTGCGTGATATTTGTATGTGCCTGGTAGGGAGGTGAGTGTAGGCGGGGTCCCGTATCTCCTCACTAGCTGAGTGTGGACGAGGTTCTATATTTCATCATGAGCAGAGCAGGGGCGAGGCCCATGATAGGCGAGACCTTAGGACTGGAGCAATTAGTATTGTGTATGATTCTTTATATGCTAACATGATTATATGATATTGTTTGTATGTGTATAGCGGGCGAGGCCTGGAAGAAACAGATCTGTATACTGAGCGGGGTTCGATGCCAAGCGGGGCCTGATGCGAGGCAGAGCCTGATACTGGGCGGGGCCCAAGGAAGGTCGGGTTGGGGCCCAATATATGTGATTATGTATATGGTATGTGGTAGTATGGGGAACTCATTAAGCTTCGTGCTTACGGTTTTCAGTTTTGGTTTTAGATACTTCTGGTAGCAAAGGGAAGAGCTCGGAATGACTGCACTGCACACACCATGATGTTTAGCCTGAGATGTTTACTCTGATGTTTTGAATTGGAAACTCTAATAATAATGTTTTGAAATACTTTGACTCATGTTTTGATGGAATGGTTTGATAACTATGAAATTATTTAATAATTAAAAATGAAATTTTTGGTCATGAATTTTATAAGTGTTACAATTTTGGGGTAATTTGCGTAGTTAGTCCATAAGAAGAGTTTTTAACTCGGACGGTCTTTATTGTTTGGTTTTGTTGCGTCTTTGGTCCATATCACTGAGAGAGAGAGAGAGAGAGAGAGAGAGAGAGAGAGAGAGAGAGAGAGAGAGAGAGAGAGAGAGAGAGAGAGAGAGAGAGAGAGAGAGATTATCATTTTCCTTATAATAAACAAATAAATGATCACACGAATTAAATGAGCATAGATAAGGGAATAATCAAGCTACCATTGGTTTTGTCAAAAATGACTATTTAGACCTGACAAATCTATATTTAGACCAAAACATTATATTCTAAAGTGTCATTTTATTATTATTATTATTTTTTTTATAACTTAGACTAATTTAGTTGTGATTTATTTACGAACTTGACACGGTCAGATCTAAGACTATTCAGACACACGGTGGGTCTACCTGGAAGCTGCAATGGTATATCTATTTTCCAAATCAAATGACTTCTGCTCTACGCCTCAACGCACGCACAAGTATATAACTTAATCTCAAGCCGATCGATCTATCGGTTGATCTATAGGTGTATTGTAGATTAATTTTGGTTACGGCACAAAATTCTCTGATCTGAAGGTAAAAATCACACAACTTAAGTATTCATATCCGATTGTTTTAGTTTCGTTTTCTTGTTGAATTTTATAACCAAATATTGAATTGGTTTTTGTGTTTGAACGTTTGGTTGATTAACTAAGCTTTGGGAAATATACGAAACGAAGATGTTGACGAAGTTCGAGACGAAGAGTAACAGAGTGAAAGGACTGAGTTTCCACAACAAGAGACCATGGATCTTAGCTAGTCTTCACAGTGGAGTGATCCAGCTATGGGATTACAGAATGGGCACTCTCATCGATCAATTTGACGAGCACGATGGTCCTGTTCGCGGCGTCCATTTCCACCAATCGCAGCCGCTTTTTGTCTCCGGAGGTAAATTTTAATGCCACATTATAACTGAAATGCTTGCCAATGGACTGTTTTATCTGGATTCAATTGTTCTGATTTGTTCATGAAATGAACATCGCATCCTCAATGGTTATTGCAGGAGATGATTACAAGATCAAAGTATGGAACTACAAATTGCATAGATGTTTGTTTACACTTCTTGGACATCTTGATTACATCCGAACAGTTCAATTTCATCATGAGTACCCCTGGATTGTTAGTGCTAGTGATGATCAAACTATCAGGATTTGGAATTGGCAATCTCGTACATGTATATCTGTATTGACAGGACACAACCATTATGTAATGTGTGCTTTATTCCATCCAAAAGAGGACCTTGTTGTGTCAGCATCATTAGATCAGACAATTAGGGTTTGGGATATTGGTGCATTGAAGAAGAAAACAGTTTCACCTGCTGATGACATCCTTGGGTTAAGTCAGATGAATACAGATTTCTTTGGTGGTGTTGATGCTGTTGTAAAGTATGTTTTAGAGGGACATGATCGAGGAGTCAATTGGGCTTCATTTCATCCCACTCTTCCACTTATTGTCTCAGGGGCTGATGATCGTCAAGTTAAAATCTGGCGAATGAATGGTATCAGTTTCTAAATCTTGTTTCTATTGCTCCATCTGTATGTTTCTGTGATAAGTTCTATATCATCTTAGCTGATCATGAAATAAAAACAAAGAACCTGATGACTATTTAGGCTATGTTTTGCGCGCCACAACTAGCTTATTTTCGAGCTTTTTTAAATTGTCGTGTTTGGCAAGCCAAAAAGTAGCTGATAAGCTAGCTTTTTAAAAAGCTATTTTGAGTAGCTTTTTAGGAATTTTCTAAAAATTTCCCAAATATACCCTTAAATAATTTTTAAAAAAACATATTCTTCTAAGGCTATGTTTGGCGTACTAGCTGAAAAGCTATTTGTTAGCTGATAGTTGAAAAGCTAGCTGTTAAATAAAAAGCTAGCTGATAAAAATTGGTGTTTGGTAAAACTAGCTGAAAGATATAAAATGACATAAAAGGGCATTTAAAAGATTGTATTTCTATAATTAATTAAGGGTATATGTGGAAATTTTTTAAAAAACTCCTAAAAAGCTAGTCAAGGCTGTGTTTGGCGTGCCATAACTAGCTGATAAGCTAGCTAATTTTTCGAGCTTTTTTAACTTGTCATGTTAGGCAAGCAAAAAAGTAGCTTAGTCAGCTAGCTTATAAGCTATCTTTTTAAAAAGCTACTTAGAGTAGCTTTTTAGGAGCTTTTTTAAAATTTTCCAAATATACCTCTTAATTAATTATAGAACACATTCTTTTAAATACCCTTTTATGTCATTTTATATTTACAGTTAGTTTTTCAACTAGTTTTACCGAACGTCATTTTTTATTAGTTAGCTTTTCAGTTATCTGCTAACTTTTTATTTAACAACTAGGTTTTCAGCTATCAGCTAGCTTTTTCACCTAACAGCTAGCTTTTTCTCCTAACAGCTAGCTTTTCAGCTAGTACGCCAAACATAGCTTAAGTAGCTTTTTAAAAAGCTAGGTTATAAACTAACTTATAAACTACTTTTTGGCTTGCCAAATATGATAACTTAAAAAAGTTCGAAAAATAAGCTAGTTGTGGCTCGCCAAACACAGTCTAAATATTCTTTTATGTCATTTTATAGCTTTCAGCTAACTTATATCATATTTTTTGTCAGTTAGCTTATAAGCTACAAGCTAGCTTTTCAGCCAATCTGCAAACAAAGCCTTAGTTTTCTCTCTAAAAGCACTTTTTGGTGTTGATAATAATTGATGACTACTTAATTCTCCTATGGGACTTGGGTGGTGTTGTTTTTATCGGATAAGAAATAACAATCATGCTTTTTTCTTCGTTTGTGCTTTGAAGAACCTCAAAACCAACTTTCATCTACTCTTTCTTCTTACACTAAGATCTTCACAATACTATTATATAACAAGTAACAAAAAAACACACACCTTCACGTTTCAGATTCAAAAGCATGGGAAGTAGACACATTAAGAGGTCACATGAACAACGTCTCATCTGTTCTTTTCCACTCAAAACAAGACATCATCGTATCAAACTCAGAAGACAAAAGCATACGCGTTTGGGACGCGACAAAAAGAACAAGCCTCCAAACATTCCGTCGCGAACACGACAGGTTCTGGATTCTCACCTGTCACCCCGAAATCAACCTTCTAGCAGCTGGACACGATAGTGGCATGATAGTTTTCAAATTTGAAAGAGAACGCCCTCCTTTCTCTGTAACTCATGATTCTCTTTACTACATCAAAGATCGTTTTCTACGGTTTTACGAATTCTCAACCCAAAAAGACACTCAAATAATCCCAATCCGAAGGCCCGGATCATCCGGATTAAACCAAGGGCCTAGATCTCTCTCCTATAGCCCTACAGAAAACGCTGTCTTAATATGTTCAGAAGTGGATGGAGGATCTTATGAACTTTATATCATCCCTAAAGATAGTGTCACTAGAGGTGATGCAATTCAAGAAGCTAAAAGAGGGGTAGGGGGGTCAGCGGTTTTTGTTGCTAGAAATAGATTTGCAGTGCTTGAAAAGAGCACAAATCAAGTTTTGGTTAAGAATTTGAAAAATGAAATAGTGAAGAAAAATGTTCTTCCGGTTGTTACGGATGCGATTTTTTACTCGGGTATGGGTAATTTGCTTTGTAGGGCGGAGGACAAAATGGTCATTTTTGACCTTCAACAACGAATTGTAATAGGGGAGATTCAAACTTCTTGTGTAAGGTATGTTTTGTGGTCAAATGATATGGAAAGTGTTGCTTTACTTAGCAAACATTCGATAATTATCGCTGATAAAAAGCTTTCACATCGATGCACACTTCATGAAACAATCCGTGTGAAAAGTGGTTCATGGGATGATAATGGTGTGTTTATATACACAACATTGACACATATCAAATATTGTTTACCTAATGGAGACTCTGGAATCATAAAAACCCTAGATGCTCCTGTTTACATTACAAAGATTTTTGGAAACACGATCTTTTGTTTGGATCGAGATGGGAAAAATTGGACGATTGTGATAGATGCAACTGAATATCTTTTTAAACTTTCTTTGTTGAGAAAGAGATTTGATCATGTTATGAGCATGATAAGAAACTCAGAGCTATGTGGACAAGCTATGATTGCGTATCTTCAACAAAAAGGTTTTCCAGAAGTTGCCCTTCATTTTGTGAAAGATGAAAGAACTCGTTTTAATTTAGCATTAGAAAGTGGGAACATACAAATAGCTGTTGCTTCTGCTAAAGAGATAGATGAAAAAGATCATTGGTATAGATTAGGTGTGGAGGCTCTTCGCCAGGGTAATTCTGGAATTGTGGAATATGCGTATCAGAGAACAAAGAATTTTGAGAGGCTATCGTTTTTGTATTTAGTTACGGGTAATTTAGATAAATTATCCAAAATGATGAAAATTGCAGAGGTCAAAAATGACATTATGGGTCAGTTTCATAATGCTTTGTATTTAGGTGATATCAAAGAACGAATCAAGATTTTGGAAAATTCGGGTCATTTAGCACTTGCGTTTGCTACTGCTAAAACCCATGGAATGAACGATATTGTTGAAGAACTTTTCGTGAAGCTTAAAGATAATATTCCGATTTTGCCCTTGAGGTCAACTTCTCTTTTAATCCCTCCAACTCCTGTTATGTCTGGTGGTGATTGGCCTTTGCAAAGGGTCACAAAAGGAATCTTTGAAGGCAGTCTTGATAATACACAAGAAGAGTATGAAGATGCTGCAGATGCTGATTGGGTTGAGGATTTGGACGTTGCTGACGTGGACAATGGTGACATCAGCATTGTGGATGATGAAGATCCAAATGAAGATAACGAATCTGGAGGTTGGGATCATGAAGATCTTGAACTTCCACCTGATTTCGACACCCCGAAAGCCACCTCCACCGCCAGGTCAGCGGTTTTTGTCCCGCCTAATCCGGGTTTACCCGCAACCCACATGTGGGCCCAGAAATCTTCACTTGCCGCCGAACACGTGGCAGCTGGCAACTTCGACACCGCCATGCGTTTACTAAACCGCCAGCTGGCAATCAAAAATTTCACACCTTTAAAATCATTATTTCTTGATCTTCACATGGGTAGTCATAGTTTCCTGTATGCTTCCACGTCAGCCTCACTTATCTCATTTCCCATTGAGAGAAACTCGAGTGAATCCACATCCACCCGGGCCCCACCTCAACTTATCTTTACTTTTTCCCAATTGGAAGACAAATTAAAAGCTGGATACAAAGCTACTACTTCAGGAAAGTTCACCGAAGCTTTACGTCTTTTCATGAGTATTCTTTATACAATTCCTTTGATAGTAGTTGAGACACGAAGAGAAGTGGATGAAGTAAAAGAACTGGTTGTAATTGTGAAAGAATATGTTTTGGGGTTACAAATGGAATTAAAAAGGAGGGAATTAAAAGACGACCCTGTTCGACAACAAGAGCTAGCTGCTTACTTTACTCATTGTAACCTTCAGATACCTCACTTGAGATTAGCTTTAATGAATGCGATGACTGTGTGTTTCAAGGGGGGGAATCTTATTACAGCATCGAGTTTTGCAAGGCGGCTGTTGGAGACTAATCCAACGGCTGAGAATCAATCTCAGAAAGCACGGGTGGTTATTCAGGCGGCTGAGAGGAACATGAGGGATTCTACGGAGTTGAATTATGACTTCAGGAATCCGTTTGTGACTTGTGGGGCGACTTATGTTCCGATTTATAGGGGACAGAAGGATGTGGTGTGTCCGTATTGTAGCTCGCATTTTGTTGTTTCTCAAGAAGGGGAGATTTGTGGTGTTTGTAATCTTTCGGTGGTGGGATCTGATGCTTCGGGCTTACTGTGTTCTCCTGCGCAGATAAGATGATTTAAAATTCTTTCTCGGGATGCTAGCCTCGCTTTTTTCTACTATCAGGTAATTCTCTCTCTTGGTTTATTATTTTTTTTCACCGACTCTTTTTTTCTTATTGATGTGTTATTTTTCTTGTAATAGACAAAATATTGATGCCTTGTTCAAATTCTTGCAGTTCAAACAGAGGGAGCCTTCGGATTCTTGATACTTTTAAAAAATACGAGTTTTGTGGGAGTTGTACTTTTATTGAAGTTTTGCATAGGCGTAAACATTGAGTATACTGTGTTTATAGTAGTGAAGATAGTTAATTTCGTTTGGACAAGCCGGGTATAACTTTTATTACATAAGATATAGTTACCCTTATAGTTAACTAGTTATTGCTTTTAAAGATATTTTAATGTGTTTTTCATATAATCAGGTTATCCTTGTTCAGGTTCAGGTTGAGATTCAGCTTTTATTTATTTCTTCTTGTTATTATTGTTTTAATATCTTTTGATAACTTTGATGTTTGAACGACTATTTATAGGGAAAATGACTTGAGAGGGTAATTACTTTTTCGTCTTGTTCACGTTTAGGTAATTTATATTTTTTGTAAACATTTGACCATTTAACTTGTTAAATGTGTTCACTATTACCATTGTCACCTGTTAGCAGGTGACAATGGTAATAGTGAACACATTTAACAAGTTAAATGGTCAAATGTTTACAAAAAATATAAGTTACCTAAACGTAAACAAATTTTTTTTTTTTTATTTTTTTTATATATATAAATTTCTTAAGAATGTTTATAATTTCTTACAACAATGTTATGATTTTTTTTTCTATAAGTTTTATCTAATACAATGTTTTAAACTTTGCTTATAATTTTTTTAAAAACTTTTTTTATACTTTCATATAATTTTAATACAAATGCTTTGAAACCAAATATTTTTAAATGTTTTAAAATTTTCTTACAAGTTCTTAACTAGTTTTTTTTTTTAAACATTTTTTTACAATTTTTTTATAACTTTCATACATTTATTTCTAAACTTTCTTTTACAACATTTTTAAAGTGTTTTTTAGGGGATGTTTGGATTAACTTATTGCTTATTAGTTTATTTGTGGTGGGAATAAGCAATAAGCAAGGGAGGAGATGCTTATTAAAATTAGCTTATTTCTAACACAATAAGCTGATTTTTAAGGATTTTTATCAAAACACTTAAACTTAGCTTATTGTGGTGGGAATAAGCAATAAGCAATAAACACCATATTTTTTTCGTATCCAAACACCCCCTTAGATTTTGTATGATAATTTAATATTTTTTATAACATTTTAAATTACTTTCGTTAAATATTAATTTAAAACGTTGTATTAAAAAAATTAAAAGTTTATAAACTTCTAATTAGAAAGTTGGAATAATTTTAAAACATATATATATATATATATATATATATATATATATATATGGTTAGTTTCATGTGAGACGGCCTAATTTTGTGAGACCGTGAGACGCATTTTTTTATTTTTTTTATTTTTTTTTTATTTTGTTTAGTTAATTCAAGTTCCGAAAATAATATTTAAAAAGAGAATTTTTGGATTTTTCCATTTATTTTGCATTTTAAAATTATTTTTTAGAATATGTACAGTGTAATATTCTATTAGAATATTTCACGTATTTTTCAAAAAAATGGGATTTTTTTATATTTATTTTATTTTATTTTATTTTTTTTTAGTTAATTCAAGTTCCGAAAATAATATTTAAAAAAAGAATTTTTAGATTTTTCCATTTATTTTGCATTTTAAAGTTATTTTTTAGAATATGTCAGTGTAATATTCTATTAGAATATTTCACGTATTTTTCAAAAAAAAACGGGATTTTTTTTTATTTTTTTTTTTTTTTTTTTTTTTTTTTAGTTAATTCAAGTTCCAAAAATAATATTTAAAAAAAGAATTTTTGGATTTTTCCATTTATTCTGCATTTTAAAATTATTTTTAGATTTGGTCTCACGGTCTCACAAAATTAGAATGGTCTCAAATGAACCTGAACCTATATATATATATATATATATATATATATATATATATATATATATATATATATATATATATAGTTTTAATATTTGGTAAGTAATATTTTCTATTTATTTTTTTTAAAAGACCCTCCATGCTTATTGTTACATATTTAATTTTTTTAATTTTTTTATTAGATACTATTCACTTTAAAAATATTGTAGATGCTTAAAAAAGAAAGTAAAAAATTATTAGAGGCTATATAAAAGATTTCACAAAACAAAAACATATTTATTAATTAAAAAGTAAAATTTAAAATTGATCAATATTTAATTAATATTTAGGAAGTTATTGATATTTGAAAAATAACATTTCAAAAAAATAATACAAAAAAATATGAAAATAAAATCACTATTAAAAGTGGGGAAACTGATTTATCAGAGTAAATAACTTTTCGTTTTGTTCACATCTAGACAACTTTTTTTTGTACACATTTAACCATTTAACTTGTTAATTTGTTCACATATTACCATTGCTACCTGCTATAGCCGGTGACAATGACAATATGTAAACACATATAACAAGTTAAATGGCCAAATATGTATAAAAACAAAGAAGCTACCTAAATGTGAACAAAACGACAAAGATTATTACCATTGTAAGTCATTTTCCCCTATTTCTATGATGATTACATGTGGGAATCATAGGTAAGAAGTTACCCTTTCTCATTTTATCAATTTCTATGATGATTACATGTGGGAATCATAGGTAAGAAGTTACCCTTTCTCAGTTTATCAATTTAAAGGTAAATAGTTCTGTTTGTATAGATAGGAAAAAGAGGTACCAATTTTAGAGGGGTTCAATATGTTTCTACTAAATATTCGTATTTATCTTTTATTTATTGGATCATATCTTAAGTGTCAAAATCGAGGAATGAGACAAAAACAAAAAGAAATGGTGCGTTATGTATTTCAATAATTAATACTTAAGAGGATGAAGTTGGAGGATAAGATAGAAGGAAATTGGAGGATAAGATAGAAGGAAATTTCATTTTCCATATAGCATATAAAATACAAATTGATGATTAAGTATGATAATAATATTTTTAAATTGAAGAGATTTTGTTTGAAGCTAAAAGCATCTCCAACTCAACTCTAAACTCTATTTTTTCCTTCATTTCCTTCATGTTTTCCTTCAACAATATCTTCTTTCTATCTCTATTTTTAGATATGAATAAGATTCTTCCAGATATGGACGACGGACATTATTCATTTCTCCAAAAATAGAGTTGAAGTTTTAGTTGTTGATTTTAGTCTTTCTTTTTTATTTATACATTTCTTATTTTTATCTTCATTATAATTTAAATATAATATTTAATATTTGTAATATCCTGGTATTTATTAAGTTATATTAATTAATCATTAATATAGAGTTTAGTATTTATTTATCGAATTCATATAAAAAATTAAATATATACTAAAGATTTGAAACACAGTAATATATTTTTATAAAAGTTTATAATTGAAATATAACTTATAAACATGAAAACATATTCTAATAAAACAAACAACACTTAAAGTTGTAAAAGAAACGTTACCCATAAAGATCGAAATAACAATGGATGAAGATAATCAATTCTAACAATTTCTTGTTCGATATAATCATATTAAATAAAATAGAATATATATATATATATATATATATATATATATATATTGTTATAAATACAATTTAATAATTATTTATAATAAATTAGAAATTATGTCAAGTTCATTATATATAAACATTTTATTTACATATAATTTTATGATAATATAATTTACAATATTATTGTAATAAAAAAAATATAGAATACATATTTGTTAAAATCTAATAAGTAGAGGGGTATGTTTGACAATATATATATAAGTTAAAAAATAGAATATACTAAGAATATATACTTTTTAGGATAAAAGAGAAATCTTCAATAAAGTCCTAATATTTAGGGGAAATTTACGGTTTAGTACCAAATTAAATTTTGTTTACAAAAAAGACATATTACCGGCTAAAACTTCGGAATGACCATTCGTGGCCGGTTTCACAGATTTAGTCGGTATCTCGTCTTTTTTTTTCGTTAATTAATAAAAAAATTCAGGGCTTTTTCATTATTTTTTGCCAATAACAAAAATATTTGGATTTTTTTTTAAGATTACCTTTAAACTAATGTATATTATATGATTTAAGTTAATATATACTATTCATCGTCTTCTTTCTTGCACTCTTTCATAGTGTGTTTTCGTTGTTATCGTCGAACCCAACAACAAAAAGTTCACTCACAAGCATCGTTAACTCCATCGAAAGATCATCGTGTATGTGAGTCGTCTTTTAGCCGAAGCGGGGTTCAGGAAGATTGATCGGTTCATTTGGGTGTTTGGTAAGTAGCAATGAGTGATTTCGAGGACAAAATCCTGTTTAAGTGGGGGAGAGTTGTAACATCCAGGTTTCGAGAAGCTTCCAATTTTGGGAATTACGGGCATTAATGGATCAAGTGATGGCTTTGGATGCCAAAGGGTTTGGGCTTTAACCCCATTCAAAAGTGGATTACATATATATGTTGTGCGAGCCAATATTTCAGTTTGTACTTTGGAGCTTGTGACAACTCGAAATTTCTATCTTGTACAACCATTCACTTCAATCTAAGTCAGACTTATTTCTGCTAACTTTTAGCACTGTTTAGAGTCTGTTTGAGTGTTCTAAAGCCTAGTACCTTCAAGAGATAAATATAGGAAGTATACTCTAGAGTTCAATGTGCAACATTTAAGTCTCAAAACTCCAAGAGTTTGGAGTTTACGACCATAAAATGGAGTTTACGGCCGTAAACTCTAAGGTATAAATATGACACTTAGTCATTTTTAGTCATTTTTACCATTTTCAAGCCTAGAAGGCATTCTCTCTCAAGTATCATCCGATTTTTCACTAAGATCTTCAACTTTTTAAGTGTTTCTTTCCTTGATTAGTTGATATCCTTCAATATCTAGTGATTGTACATGATTTCATCCATGAAATCTCTTCATTTTGATAGATCTTCAAGTGTTCTTCATTTCACTAAGAACACAAGAACACACACTAGTGTTCTTGGACCTTAAACACCCTTATAAGCTTCTATATTGTAAGTACTCTTGCCTTAGCTTGTTATATGCTTGAATCCTTTAGTTTACACCTAGAAAACATCAAGAAAACAAGATCAAAAGGTGTTTACGGCCAAGGCAATCTCCTTGGGCCGTAAACCCTAATTAAGGGTGCAAATGAGCCCTAATCCCTTCCAAAGCCTTGGAACCAAGTCTAGAATACTTCCAAGAAGAGTATAGGACCTTAAACAACAAAAGAATCAAGAACACATGGTGTTTACGGCCAAGGCAATCACCTTGGGCCGTAAACCCTAAAAAGTGGTGCATTTGT